TGTAAATACATCCATTATTGATGTCAATAAATATGAGAATATGATATGAACAACAGTGACCAGGATTTGTACTGATGAATTTGCTATTTTATTAGAGATCTTTACTGAGAATCTACTGAGTACAATTATTCCCAGTAGAATACTTAATATATAAACTTGATACATTGTACGAAGACCTTGTTTCCATAGTTCTGTCATTCCATTGTATAGACATAAGGGAAAGCCAAAATGACTATGAGTACAACTATTATCTATTAAAATCATTCCTTTCTTATCAACTGATGGTGGATCAATAAATCCCAATATTTGTACACAGAATATGATACCATTTAGACTACCAGTAGTTAGTGTCAGTTTGAGAACATACAGCAAGTAAATGAGAAGAGGACCAATCACTGCATATATTATTAGTGTGAATAGCCACCAGTTACTGCATTGCTTACATTCATAAGATCCATACACTACACTATACCCAGGAGGACATTGTGAACATAAAAGTCCTTCTCTATTATTAATACATAATGGTACAGAGTTACTAAGATCATCAGAGTCTGCTATTCCAACAATGGTGTCATTGACTATCAGTTTCATACAACCACTTTTATACCTACAGTACACAATACAGTTTAATGCTGCACCAAATACAACAGCACCATTAGACAAATTAGCTATACCAATCCATTCTGTACCAGTTCTTGTAATTGTAGAGATAGAGTTATCTGCTCCAGAGCTTATTTGACAATCAGGTTGATAGGAAGTACTAAGTTTATGCAATAATCTTGAACAGACACATTTACCTTCAGTAACATTCAGTTCAAATCCTATGGGACAATCAAGCAACTGTATACCATACAATGTCAGCTCTGATGCAATAGAACTGGATGATACAATAATTGCTGGAGATGAAGGATTAAGTTCATTCTTATTTTTGAGAAGTGTTATAGTAACTGAAGTGCAGTCTTGTTTTTCTAATAAAGCTTGATTTGCACTATTAGCTGATACTTGCCATGAAGGAAGAGAATGAACATTATCACAATCTATCAATAGAAAAGTTACTGCAGCATAACCATACTGCATTATTTTTGAATCATTGCTGTGATAAGTGTACATTGCTGCTAATTGAAGTTGTATATTTTGACCTGGGCGCATGAAAGCATTCAAGTTATATTTATTTGTTGCTGCATTGCAAGATGGATTACACAAACACAATGAAGTAGGTGGTATAGAAATGTTTTGATGCTTTGAATTAGAAAATGAAAATACTGTGCTGGATTCATTCATTAAATTTAATCTGTCAGTATCTGCTTTACAACTATATAAATTGTTACTGTAGATAGAGCTACCTGCCTCTGCTGCTGTATTATTGATAAATGTTATGTTAATATCAGTAATATTCTTGGCCTTGCTGCTCTGAAACATGCACTTCTGTATGTTATCATCAGCAATAGCATATATAGCACCACCTATTGTAAGAGCAGTATTGTTAATGAAAGTAGCATTCAATCCATTAGAAAGGAGGAAATAACTTGAACTTTGTACTTTAAAACCAGTTCCCATGTATCCATTGTTACCAATAATGTTTAGCTGACCATTCAAAATTATTATTGTATTTCTGATATCAAAAATAGATCCAAAATTGTATAAAAAATTATTGTATCCACTGATATGAAGCCCATCGGCATTGTCTATTTTAATCAGTTCTGCCCTTGTGTTGCCAAATTTATTATTTATTTTATAATAATTAAAATTATCATTAGCAGTTATGTTTTTAAGGTAAATGTTTAAAACTTCACCTTCTATCCCAGTATCCACAGCATAAATACACGAACCTGCTGTTGTAGCAGTGTTGTTGGTAAAAAATGAATTAGTGAAGTGAACATTGACTGTACTATTTAAAGAATAATATAAACCAATTGAAACTATGCTTAATATATCAGGTTCAGGCCCATACAAGACAATATTATTTATAAATGAACTGTTGTTGAACTTGAGATGCAATGGGGTACTGTTAGTATCAGAAATGTCAGTCATTATAAGTAATACCATATTTGAGGCTATGCTAGCTACAAAGCTAACCTGATCCAATTCTGTTCTACCATATATAGTTTTGTAATGAATGATAAGAAGTACAGTGCCAGAATTTTTGGTAAAATTTGTATTGAGGATGAGAACTTTAGCTGGATAGTTTGTATGAGCATAATAAATAGTAAAGCCACCTGTACTTAGAACTGAACGATGATTTTGTAAATATCCAGGATGTTTCAAAAGATAGCGACTTGCAATATTTTCAGTTATTAGTGAATTGTTGATTATTACAGTATGTATATCAGTAATATAATCATTAGTGAAGTACACTAGTGCACCACTACCAATGTATATATGTATAGATATAATGTGTTCGATTGACAGACTAATAGTTAAACTATTCATTGTTGCATTCACTGGGTTGATGGCTAGTATAGCAAAACCATAATAAGATGTAATGTTAACATCTTCAATTAATAGAATATTAATGTATGGAAATAGTAACACAGCTGATTGATATTGAGTGAAATGAAATGGATAATCAGTAGAATTAATGACATCAATGATTGAACTGTTCTTTAAAAACCCACCACAACCTCTAAATACTAACCTTTGTAGAGTCAGGTTGAGTACATTAATGAAGGAAAATCCAGTGGTTGGCCAATGTAAGTGGTTACCAGTTTGATTGCAGTTAATGATAGCTGGTCCTGATGAATTACTGGTTATATTCAGTGAGTAGGTAGTATTGATCATACAGAATGATACATTACCACTAATGTAATGAGTGATGTTAGTATATAATACTACAAGAGTGTCCCCCACTACTGGTGGATCATTGTAGCACAAGAACTGCTCCAGCTCATTCTCTTCAGTCACATTAACAATATCTTGACTGATACCACATTGGATCAAGAGACAGAGAAATATTACAAAGAGATAGAAGGACATAACTGTATACGGTAGACTAGCTAAGGATCATCTATCCTTATATACCACAAGAACATAATGGAATGGCCTTGAAAGTGAATGTAAATTCATTAAAAGTATGACTAACAACAACTATACTTTTAACTGAAAGTAAACCTATGCAAGTGTAGACAAACATTGTTGACAATGTTGTCTACTATAATAAGCATTACTTCACCCCCACTTGGTTGTCCTGGTTACAAATACATCAAAATCACCTCTACTATAGTACCAATGTGGCAGCAGTGTGGAATTAAAGTACTTTTGTAGCACGTACATTATAATGGAATATTTACTGGCCATACTGCATATAGCATGAAACATAATTTTGAGGCAGAATTATTGCAGTGTTGACTATTGCTAACAATCATTGACCAAAAGGAAGTACTGGCTTAGCTAAAGATTTTGTTTGTTTAGTTCCTAGTGAGTTTTTATCATTTAAAACTTTTATAGATACAAGTGGTCCTCTTCCTTCATTGCCTTCTTTCTTTACAATCAAATGAACTGAACTTCCTTTGCTGATGTACTCCTTCTCATAAGCTAGAGCCAACTGATTAACAACCGTTCTCTCAACCTATATCAAAGGATGTACCTCATAGCAGGAAAATTGGTTTGAGTTTTATTTGGTGATTAGTGGATTAATGATCAAAGGCCAAAAATAAATTCGCCAATTTGCTTTATTCTTTACCTGCTCAATGACACGTGGCTGCAAATTTGCCGCCAATACAATGCAATACCATAGAACTACGCGTGCCAGTATACATGTACATCAATACTTACTTCGTGATGAATTGATCTAGCTCCATACTTAACATTGTAACCATCAGAAACAACATCAAGGACTTCTCTGTCCCATGTCAACTTAATCTGATGTCTCTCCATGGCCTAAAACCACACCCATTAATTAGTAGTGAATATTGATAGGGTCTTACTCTTTTTTGCCAAACTATCAGTTCTTGCTCAACGAGTTTCTGTAACTCGCTACGTGAGAAAGGAAGGAAATAAACAATTTCGTTGATTCTGCCAATAAATTCGTCGCGATGAAAATGATGCTACAAAAAGAATAATAAAAGCCATCTCTATCTTCTATTATAGATGAGCATAATCATAAACAGCAAATGGCACATGATTAGCAATATGAATTCCTAAAATTTCTAGCATGTACAGTGTACACATATACATGTATTTAATATAATATTATCATTATCATTATCTCTTCTTGCCTTTAGTATTGGCTCTATCACGTTCTCTTTAAAGTTACGAGATATTTCAACTGTTTCTTTACCATCATCATCTACAAATGACACAATATTCAGATTAAAAGAATTAATAGTATATACATGTACTTGTACAGTGTAGCCTCTATATAATGGACACTTATGTACAAGAAAGTGTCTCTGTTATACAGAGGTGTCCTTTATGTGGAGGTTATTTTATACAGTAAGGAATGTAATTGGTACACTAGGTGCTGTCCGTTAAATGGAGGTGTATGCTATAGAGAGTGTCCATTAAGAGAGGCTATACTGTTAATATCAATCTTAATTAATTACCTCTCATTATATTATTAATAGCTTCCTGTCTCAATCTCAGTCCATGCTGTGCAATTTCTTCACTCGCTAAATTAGACGTCATCACAAAAACAGCATCTTTACAAGAAATGGTATTTCCCTGTCCATCAGTCAGCCGGCCCTAAAAAGAGGCGTGGTCAATTAAAACCACACCCACTCATTAATTGTACTCCTTTAAGTGGTTTATATTATTGGAAAGACAAATTGGGCCTTCCATTTTTACTTTATTTCTCTGTTGAACTGCATGCATTCCATACACAATGATTATAATTACAATAACACAATTTTGTATTACTGTATAGTAGGTATATGCTGCCAGAATTTAATTTTGTTCTTTTTGTTCTTATTCCTTGTGGAACAAATAATTTCCAAACCAAAAGGGCGTTTCCTCAATGCCACGTGTGCAAAATGGCAACTCAGAACGAAAATAAAATGAACAAAAAAATTTCTAATCCTGGTTAGAACAAACATTTTTCCAAACAAAATATACCTGCTATACAGTAAGCCTTCCTTCATTATTTTACATAATAATAACACTAATGTATATACATAATATACATACATGTACACATATATGTACATATACATACACTGTACCTCATCAAACAGCTGCAGTAGGACAGTAAGTACGTCAGGGTGAGCCTTTTCCACCTCATCGAAGAGGACAAGAGCGTTTGGACACTGTTTGAGTAAAGACGTCAACTGTCCCCCTTGATCATAGCCTATGTAGCCAGGGGGAGCCCCTATTAATTTAGCAACCTAGTTTATATCAATAGAAGATTTTTAATTTTTATTACATTTTCCTGATGCATATACATGTACTTATGTTGCGTAGAAGGTTTGAGCCACTTTCAATCAAAATTGGATTTTTATGAATTTTTAAATTTGCTCAAAATCTGGACCAAAGTCACTGTACTATAGTACAGGGTCATTGGCTAAATTTCACCAAAAATGAAAAGGTGAGAATTCTCCATTTTTATTACATTTTCTGATGCATATACATGTACTTACATGTATGCAGCGTAGAAAGTTTAAGCTGATTCCGATCAAAATTAAATTTTTTGCGAATTTTTAAAGTTTCTCAGAAATCGGTTAAAAATCCCTGTACTACAGTACATGGTCTCGGGCCAAATTTTGTCAAAAATGAAAAGGTGAGAATTCTCCATTTTTATTACATTTTCTGATGCATATACATGTACTTATGCAGTGTAGAAAGTTTGAGCTGATTCTGGTCAGAATTAATTTTTTAACAAAAAATCGGTTAAAAATCCCTGTACTATAGTACATGGTCTCGGGCCAAATTTCGCCAAAAATGAAAAGGTGAGAATTCTCCATTTTTATTACATTTTGTGATGCATATACATGTACTTATGCAGTGTAGAAAGTTTGAGCTGATTCCGATCAAAAATAAATTTTTTAAGTTTCTCAAAAATCGGCTCAAAATCCCTGTACTATAGTACATGGTCTTGGGCCAAATTTTACCAAAAATGAAAAGGTGAGAATTCTCCACTTTTATTACATTTTCTGATGCATATACATGTACTTATGCTGCGTAGAAAGTTTGAGCTGATTCCGATCAAAATTGGATTTTTTACGAATTTTTAAAGTTTCACAAAAATCGGCTCAAAATCCCTGTACACATGTCTGGGCCAAATTTCACCAAAAATGAAGAAATGAGAATTCTCCATTTTTATACAC